CGTTAATGAGTGACCTGACCGTAGGACGACAATCACGCATCAAACGAGCATTACCATCGGGAAGTCTAATAATGGATGTGTACGATATGTATTTCGTCCTTGTCTGCTGGATGATGATCTTGGTGTGTTGGCATGTTGCTTGCATGCTAGGATAGAGTCTTGTGGATAGTCATTGTCTTGTCGTAATGTCTACATTTTCTTTTAACCCATCTCTTTCCCAATGCTGGTTGTTGCGTTGCTGTTTGCGCCTCGGAACTGCTCCAGGGTAACGGACCGCTTCACCCCAATGTCAGCGATGATCCGTACGATAGATGGACGCTACACCAACAGGGTTTAATGAACAACGTGTGCCCACTGCACAACACCATTCACCCCAGAGAATGGACAAATCAAGGCTGGCCGTCTCTCTCTCTCTCTCTCTCTCTCTCTCTCTCTCTCTCTCTCTCTCTCTCTCTCTCTCTCTCTCTCTCTCTCTCTTTCTCTCAGTCTTTCCCTCGGACACTCTCTTGATATTTCAATTCAGTTTTCGTAATCTATTTTATTTTTCATCCATGATAGTTCTACGTCGTCAAGAATGACTTACAAAGCATTTATCTCTCGCTTCTGGATGCTGTGCAATCTGTTTATGATAGAGATGCGTGGCTCGAAATTGTCAACAGATGCGTTGACCTCATGCAATGAGTGATATGCGAACTGTCATTATTATTAATATTTTATTATCATTATTAGTTCATTTGTTGGTCGTAGTGGCAATCCTTGTCAATCTCGTGTCGTTGTCTGGATGTAATATGTACTTTCCCTCAGTCGTCTCTTGACTTAGTGATGAGAAATTACTGCAGTACAGCATAGCGTTCTCGGAATGAATGAATGGAGTGTTGTTATCACTAGACGTTATAGTTTGTTTGCAAGTACGTGTATAACTAGGACAGTGGTGTTACTGCCAGCCTGCAACACTTTGTGACAAGATGATCCATCGAGATGTCAGAGAATCTTAGAGCAGCAGTGTCAAATGTCATGTGCAAACAAGATGCCTACGTGTGGTACAAGAGAATGTAGGTACATGTAGTAATTAATTCATTCCCGTAGCTATGCAGAAGACGTTACTCCAGTAACGTCTGGCGCTAGCCAGGGTCCACACAGCTTTAAAGGGGAAGTGCATCGATTTTTCGAGTAGGGTCCAGAAGAAAGACAATTTGATATCGGTTCGAATGGCATATCTCTCGCTTCCATACGATAAGCCAAACTTGCCAAATCGCCAATTGTATGCTCACGTTGCCATAGCGACCAGAGCAGTGATGACGTATGAAAGGCTTAGCTCCTCCACAGAGAAGGTCGATCACTGCGGAAATTGGTCATTTTTCAATTGTCTTATTGTATTCACGATGTGAAAGAAGTGCTGTGTTCAATGCTGTTAGTGTCGTGAACTATTTATCGCCCTTCTCATGCATTTCCCTAGGCTGACTGCGCCTAGGAAATGGTTTCCTCCAGGACAAGATGCTTGGAATTCGCCATCTCTCCTGAGACATTTTTTGCAAACTTTCAAACCTACGACATTATTTCATTCGTCAATCTCCACCACCCGTCGTCTCACCTGGCTTCAGAAGATGTTACGAGAGATAGCAGAGTCGCCAGGAAGCATCACATTCATCTTCAGGAAGTGGAAAGAGCAAACGGCATGGTCCTTGGTTGGGGGAAATGCTGAACGTCTGATTTGTCCCAACCAAGATTTCAGCATTTTGTTCGTCACTATTTTCGCTTGTCTGCTGGTGTCTCCGCACTCCAGCTTTCTCCTGTCGGTGTCACGTCCCAGTACACAACCGAGAGGACTACTAACAAACAGTTCACTGCACTAACAGCATTGAACACAGCCCTTCTTTCACTTCGTGAATACAATAAACCAATTGAAAATGACCAAATTCTGCAGTGATCGACCTTCTCTGTGGTGGAGCTAAGCCTTTCGTACGTCATCACTGCGCTGGTCGCTATGGCAACGTGAGCATACAATTGGCGATTTGGCAAGTTTGGCTTATCGTATGGGAGCGAGAGATATGCCATTCGAACCGACATCAAATTGTCTTTCTTCTGGACCATACTCGAAAAATCGATGCACTTCCCCTTTAATTTGGTGTTTGTTTACAGGGTCCACACAGCTTTAATTCCCGTAGCTATGCAGAAGACGTTACTTCAGTAACGTCTGGCGCTAGCCAGGGTCCACACAGCTTTAATTTGGTGTTTGTTTGTTTGTTTGTTTGTTTGTTTGTGTCACGCCTGTCGCTATCCCGTATCTGTACCGTATTGTACCGTACCAGCAAAGACAGCTGGCTACTATATGTTTATTTGTTTGTGCCATCGACATGCCTGGCGCTATCCCCTACCTGTCCCGTACCATCAAGAGTACGGTACCATCAAGAGAATGAGTATATATGTGAAGTGTATCGGGGGAATGCATTCAGTGCAGTAACATTTTGTGTGGATTTGTGTGCGAGGCCGAGAACCCACTAGCAGGCTGGCTGGTCCGCCTGTCGACCAGCCCGGGGATCACATGTAAGCTGATAGCATAATAATTATAACGTATCAGATTGAGTAATTAAAACGTACATACAGTCATGTAGATCTATAGCAGGGAGTCATATTATGTAAACGACTCCCAGCTGTATGGGGAGATTTTCTGAAAAAAAAATACGAAGTAGGGAGACGAGTGAATGCAATCAGAAAATCTCCCCATACAGCAGGGAGTCATATTATGTAAACGACTCCCTGCTGTATGGGGAGATTTTCTGAAAAAAATACGAAGCAGGGAGACGAGTAAATGCAATCAGAATGGATGTTAGTTGCCGTCAGTATAATAATAAGAAGAAGAACGCCCGTGATCGGCAGAGTCAGCGCCGGTCCCAAGAAACGTCAGGACAGACATCCCGTCGACTCCAGAACGCCCGTGATCGGCAGAGTCAGCGCCGGTCCCATAGCTATGCAGAAGGCGTTACTTGTACTTCAGTAGACACCCTTAGGGCGCGTTCAGACTGGCGTAAAAAACAAGCGGAATGGGAAAGTTGTCAAGGTGAATCGCTCACGTGACGTTCCCGCCAGCGGAAACACGGAAAAGGTTTCCCACCACTCTGCAGGCCAGTGGAATGCAGATTCCGGCGGCACGCGGGAGCACTTTTGATATCCTCTATCGTCTGCATTGATCTGACTGTGTGCATGCTTTTGAGTTTTTTGGAATTTTGACTTCTGCCAGCTCCGTGTTGTTACGTCTTCCATCATGCCGAAGTCTTTATTTGATGCTGCAATGGAGAGAGAGCTCATGGAGCTCTACGTTGTGATCTTTGCGGGATCTGCAGGCAAAACATTGACTGCAAATGAAAAGCACACTTTGATCGCAGAGCGGATGAATGCGAAAGGCAAATCCCTCGGCTGGGCCACACTGAATGCAACAAACATAGACAACAAGCTTGACGGATTGAGGAGGAAGGGGAAGAAGATGTACAAAACGTTCCGGAGTAAGACAAGGACCGGTGCTCCAGTCGAAGATGATTTTGACTTGAAGGTAATTCAATTGAAAGAGATGATGATAATTATAATAATTATTATTATGAAATGATACTTCACTCAGACCATAATACGATGTGCATTCAACTAATCGAAATCTCTTTGATGTGTAGAGTAATTCCAATCCAACATGCACCATTGCATTGTATCGTTGGGAACTGCAGATACTTTATATGCTGGCTCGAATGGGAGTATCGTATAAAATCACATGCCAACTTAAAATCTCCATTTGCCTGTGCATCTGTGCGTCTCTCTCTCTCTCTCTCTCTCTCTCTCTCTCTCTCTCTCTCTCTCTCTCTCTCTCTCTCTCTCTCTCTCTCACCCTCTCTCTCTCTCTCCTCCCATTTCCTCCACTGCACAGGCTGCATACAAAGAGTGGGGTAATTTCCAACTGTACCACTCGTTGTTTTTCAAAAACCAGTCGCTCGGTCCTGGAGGGAACAACGAGGACACTGTTTCCGTGAGCCCAGCTACGGACGAACCACCTGCATCCCCAACAGTGGCAACACTATCAGAAGAACCAACCGAGGCATCAACGACCAGTGTTGCTGGTGCCGCATCCGTCGCATCATCTCCCGTTAATCATTCTCGCCGCCGCCGCCGATCGTCGGACTCCGAGTCCGAGGTTGCTAGTCAGCTTGAGCCTGGCCGGAAGCCTGCCCGAAAAACAACCCGCAAGCGGGAGGATCATAATCCTTCTATGATAGATGCCGTTCTCGAATCGCAGGAGCGCCAGATACAAGCCGATCAGGAAAGAGCACGGCAGAACGAGGAGTTTCAGGAGCGCATGGAGGCACACCGACAAGAGAATGAGGATCGGCGAGAAAGAGAAAGAAGGGAAGAGGATGATCGGCGTGCCAGGGAGAGACGGGAGGAGGACGACCGACGTGAGCGAGAAAAGCGAGAGTATGATGAAAAGAAGACAAGGGAAGAGAGGGAGTACCAGGAGAAACGAGAAGAGGCCAGAGAAGCGAAAGCCTCCGAAGTGCGGATGGATGAGAAGACATTCAATGCCCAACTTCTCCAAAGCCTGTTGCGGAAGTAAGACGAACTCAATAGCTCCGTCATCTCTCCCGCCCCCCCCCCCCCCCCCCAATCTCTTGTCTCGCTCAGTGTACAAGTAGCATGTTATGTAGAAATTGATTCCATACATTCCCTCAAGCTCAACCAATTGTGTTCAATTGTGCATATGTACAAGCATGTTTTTTTTTAGTTTGATTTTCGAAATACGCGGAAGTAGTGCGTCATCTACTTTCAGCATTGGCCGTGATGATTGAATTATCATTCTGCAACTTCACTTTGTTGTGAAAATTAATCATCATGCATGAATGTGAAATTGAAAGAATACAATTGTCTGGGAATTGCATGCAGACAGTGTGCTCGAGGGATGATGCAGCTGTCATTGTGATTGCCTGCTCACTGTTGACTAGCTCAAAGTCATCCTCACACTATCATAAAGTTTGTGCAATGGTGTAGCGGACATCACCTCCACCCATCAGCTCGTGCACTGGCGCTTGTGGAAGCGGCGGACCAACACGGACATAGTTGCCTTCTTCCACGGTCCAAGTGGAATTGTATTCACAATTAGCACGCTGGCACACATTGTGCAGAGCAGCACAAACTAAGCTTACGTCCTTCATGAAGCCAGGGTCTCTGATATAGTTGTCGGTGAGAATGTGCCACCTGCCTTTCAGGAATCCGAATGCATTCTCGATCTTCTGACGCGTAGATGTCAGTGCACGGTTGAATCGTATGTGATGCGGCACTGTTGGCCGATCATAGCACTTGAGAAGCTGCTGTTCTAGGGGGAAAGCACTGTCGCCGATCAGGTACGGCTTGACCGTCACACCATCGAGGTCTTCCGCGTACTCGCTGAGCCACTCTCCTGAAGTAATCAGCCGGCGAAGTGAGCTTTCGCGGTACGTGAACGCGTCGCCAACACATCCAGCTCTGCCAACATCCACAAACGTAAACTGGCAACGGTGGTCACAAACGGCGAGCATAATAATTGCTATAAAGTTCTTATAGCACCAGTAGGTATCACCCCACAGGGCTGGCTTTTTGATGTGGACGAATGTGCCATCAATAGCTCCAGCGCACAGACGCAAGTTTGCCAGGTCTTCAAAGCCAGTCATGACTGTTTGCAGCTCGTTCCCAGAAGGGAACTTGATACATTTCGAGACCAGGGTGGTCTTCACCACTGCGATAGTGTCGTGAACGATTTGGTGGGCAGTAGATGCTCCTATGCAGTACACCTGTGCAAGCTGGTCAAATGTGAGGGCATGGGCCAGCCAATGCAATGTGATGGCAAACCTCTTCTCTGGTGCTACAGGTGAACGCAAATGGGTGACCTGGCATCGAAGGTGTTCTTGGACTTGTCCTAGCACGTACTGAAATGTGCGACAGTCAAACCGGTACGTTCTCAGGTATCTCTCATCCAGATAGTCGTCTGCCTCACCTGGAATGCGATAATTATCTGCCACTCTGTGCCACAGTTGCACTTTCTCCTCCCAAAATCCAGGACGACCTCGATGGATGGACCACCACCGCCTCTCTCTCCTACAAGCTGCCACCTCTTCTGCGGCAAGCAGTGGCAAAAGGACAGATTGCCTCCTCCAACGAGAGCAGCTGCCAGGCATAGGTGGCTGGATGTCACGAGGTAAACATCGCCTCCTTGTGTGCTGGGTTCCACCTGAAGACAATCTACACGACGCTGTTGTCGTTCTAGATCGCAGGCCGACAGGAGTATCTACATGATCACCTCGCCCTTGCAAGACCACCCAAGCACCAAACACTCCGGACATCGTATTCTTTCCGTCGACAAGCACAAGGAAAAGCACAATGATCCAGTATCTCAACAGACTGAATTAGTTTATTTTGATGTCCAACTCAACTTGAACTGTGAGTCAAAATCACATTTTTCCAATGTCGATTGATTATGTAAAAAAGCTTGTCAAAGTCTGTAAAAGTATGACATGTACTCGCCATTCCAGCGGGATACACGTGCAGTGTGACTGTGATTCCTGGGATTACGCTGCAGCATTCCGGCGGCTGTTCACGGTAGTCTGAACGCGCCCTTAGCAAACAACGGTAACGCTATTTTTTACGGTACTCGTACCTTGATCACCCAAATAGCGTTGAAGCTGCAGCGTATAAACGTTATGGGGGCTGATTTATCGTTGTGACCAACGGTACGTGTTTTGGCCAAATATTGCATAGTCCGTACGCATTTCACCTTGTATCGCGTATATGGTGACAAAAATGGTTGTACCGCGCGAAATCGAAGCTACTCTCGTGGCAACAGCGTACTAAAAATAGCGTGCATCTTGCTAAAGGTCGAACCCAAATCACGGTATTTTCCCCCTTACGATAATACCGTTACAACATAACGTTTTTTGGTAAGGGTGTCTAGTATCTCATTGAAACGTTTTTGCAATACAATGATGTAGCTAATCAAAGGAAAAAGCATTTCCATCAGTTCTAACAACATGCACGATGAGCTAGGCAACAAAGCATAGCGCAGGGCCCTGAGCTTCCAAGCTCTCTCGTTTGGTGTTTGTTTGTTTGTTTGTTTGTTTGTGTCACGGCTGGAGCTATCCCGTATCTGTCCCGTATCTGTCCCGTATCTGTGACTACAAAGGCTCTACAGGATTGTACATAACAGCTGTCCACAATCTTTGCGGGCCCCTGTATCTGTCCCGTACAGTTACAATATTCGTCGTATTATGTATACGACTCCCTGAGGTAGAGGGAAATTTGGAAAGAAAAAGGGAGACGAGGAGGAAATTAAATTAGAATAGACGCCGAATAGGTGATAGGATGCGTCAGCATAAACATACTTTGGAAGAGAGATCCCGTCGTCTCCAAAATAAGCGTGAACGAGCGATTCAGCGCCGGTCACAGGAAACGTCGGAAGAGAGATCCCGTCGACTCCTCAACGCCCGTGATCGGCAGAGTCCGCCGGTTCCAGGCAACGTCAGGACAGACATCCCGTTGAGTCCAGAACGCCCGTGATCGGCAGAGTCTAAGCCGGTCCCAGGAAACGTCAGGACAGACATCCCGTCGAGTCCAGAACGCCCGTGATCGGCAGAGTCTAAGCCGGCCCCAGTAAACGTCAGGACAGACATCCCGTCGACACGCAGAAAAACTAAATCTGCAGCCTATTTTGCCGTCGGACAGGATACGTATTTTAGGAGACTGTAAAGTTATGTAATGTCCAAATTTCGACGTGAGCAGCAGGTCACTCGCGTTGATTTTTCGACGTGCGAGCCAAATAACGCGAGCTGAACTTTCGCATCGCAGACATCCCGTCGACGCGCAGAAAAACTAAATCTGCAGCCTCTTTTGCCGTCGGACAGGATACGTATTTTTGGAGACTGTAAATTTATGTAATGTGCTCCACAGGCAACCATGCATTCGGCGTCGTCATTGGCTCAACAGGTCAATGTACATGTATTACTACAAAAAGGCCAGAAAATCCGATTCCTGTATTAAAATCAACTAATTTTCGCTGGCGATTTAATTTCGCTGGTTTCGCCGCTTGGTACCAACCGGCCAAAGTAAATCGCAGGCCAAAGTTTGTCATAATTATTATTATTATTATTATTATTATTTCACAATCACGATGACATAGTGCCAATAAGCATGTGATGCGGGCGATTTTAACCAGCCATGGTGGGGACAACTGAGAAAAAGAAGGAGAAGAAAAATAGAAAAGAAAACAAAACAAAAGGAGTACTATAGGAACCTGGAGAGAGCAGTATGAAGATTAGGCTAGCAATGGAAAACAACGAATTCAATTCAATTCAACTTAGGCGCGGGCAGAATGGAACAAAATGCAGCGAAGGTGTCACGAGACTTTACCTTCTGCGGAAGCCGAGACCAATGAGAATAGGACTTGAACAGAGGGGATTTTAAAAGGATCGATGACCTGGCAAGTGGGAAATGGAGAGAACATCTAGTACGCGAGCTATTATTGAACCAGCTTAAATGCGCAAGTGCATGAGGAGGAGCAAGTTGAAGCTTAATACGGTGAATGAATTTGCATGCCGAGTGGGGAAAGCGTTCTCAGAGAGGGGAAGAGGAAGCCACAATGTATAGCGTCTGAGAGGAGGTCAGAGGGGGCATGCGAAATATTAATCGAAGTAATTTACGGTGGGTGACTTCTAACCGATGCATAAGAGCGGAGGATAGACCGGAGGACCAAACGAGAGAGCAGTAATCAAACAAAGGAAGAACATAAGAGTGATAAATTTGTATTCGACAACCATGGTGTAGATGGGAGATGTGAGGAGAAATGCAGCCTATCGCGGAGCAAACTCGCTTTTCAATATAGGTTACGTGCGAATCCCAGGACAAGTGTTCATCAAGAAATATACCAAGGTGTTTGTGATTTTTAACAATGTTGATAGCAATGGGATCATCAGGGAAAGTAAAAAGCCGAGTCGTAAGGAGGGTGAGGTCACTGGAGGGTCGTGGGGGGATACAAAGGATTGCCGTTTTCGACACATTGGGGCGGAGTTTCCACTTCGACATCCAGCGCACAACTTGATTAATGTGATACTGTAGCGAGTCGCAGGCTTGCAATAAGCCTGGCTCGGTTATATGGAGCGCTGTATCGTCCGCGTAGAGTGAGGTATGATCCAAACCCGCCAAATCATTAACGTATACGATGAACAATAGAGGCCCCAAGATAGAGCCCTGGGGCACTCCAGAGTGGACTGTTAGAGGGGCGGACAGGGCATGTCCAATTCGGACACTCTGTCGACGTTCAGTGAGATAGCTGGTGAGCCACTGCAGACACGTCCCGGCTACGCCAAACGCTGCTAACTTATGGAGGAGACCCCTTGTCCAGACAGTGTCAAATGCTTTGCTGAGGTCGAAAAAACATAGGAGGCTAAATTGCTTCTGATCCTTGCATTCATATAGCTTCTGCACAAGCCTCAGCAACTGCCAGGCGGTCGAATCGCCTCGCCGAAATCCAGACTGTGACGGGTCAAGGACCGGGTTCACATGTTGGTATAAGTGGCCAAATGCCACACGTTCACAGAGCTTTGAAATGGTGGAAAGGAGTGAAATCGGCCGGTAATTGGATGCAGACAGTTTACTGCCTTTATTCTTGTAAATAGGCACAACCACAGCTGCCTTCCAGACATCAGGGAAGATTCCGGTGGCGAAGGACTGGTTGAAAACTTGGCTGAGAGGGATAGCTATACTAGGAGACAGGGCTTTTAGCAGTTCATGGGATATGCCATCTGCACCTGCCGCCTTCTTGGGCTTTAGGCGACGGATGTGTTGGGCAATGGCGGTGGGAGTAGTGCTAAAAGAGGGTAGTGCTGGGAGCCCGTGGTGTGGAATACCAGGGAGAGACCATGCAGGATCATCCGGTGTTCCAAAGCTGATGAATTGGCGATTCAGAGCATTGGCAATCTGGGTAGGGTCGTTGTGTGCTGTGTTATTTTCATGGAGTTCAGTGATGATAGGGTTTCCAACAGGGGTCGGCGAACGAAGCTGCTTAACAAACTTGAACAAACTAGGGGTGGATGCAATAATGGATGAGGGGTTAGTGCTAATGGAGGACACATACTGGCGGTGAGCCTCTCTAGATAGGATTCGTGCTCTGTTACGTTCGCACTTGTAATGCTCGTGATTGCTAGGGGTAGGATACTTGCGATACAAGCTGTACGAGTCTCGCTTCCTCTTCAGCTGAGCTTTAACAGCACGTGTCAGCCACGGGGCACTTGGTGTACGTCGTCTAGGGGCTGAAGAGCGCGACCGGGTGGGTAGGAAAGCGGAGCATAGACTATGAAGGATGTCATAAAATGCTGGAGCAGTACGGTTTGGATCTCCAAGCTTCAACTGGAGAGCAGCATGCCAGTTCAAATTAGCAATGGATTCATTTAGAGCAACTAGGTGAGTGGGAAGAATGGAGGAGATGTCAAACTGACTGAAGTCAGGTATCTGGAAGGAATGGGAGGGCAGTGTAGTGTTGGGTGCAGGTGGTGATGCGGTACATGTCGGGATGCACAAACGGCCGAGAACAATTGTGTGGTCCGACTGACCGAGAGGGGCTGAGGGGCGCGGATCGCAGATGCTGGCTGCAGTGTCAGTGATCATCAGGTCCAGAGCAGCCTCA